AAGAATCAACCAAAACAACAGATAGAAATAAACTTACAAAAGCTTACATATTGGAATTACCTGTCATAGATTATTAAAATAAGTATGATGGTGGGGGGCGCGCCTGGGTGGCTCAGTCAGTTGAGCGTCCGACTCTTGATTTTGGCTCAGGTCATGATCTCAGGGTTGTGAGCTCCATGCTCACAGTGGGGAGTCTGCTTGAAATTCTCTTTCCCTCTCTCTCTGCCCTTCTTCCCTCCCCCCAAATAAATAAATAAAGCTTAAAAAAATAAAATAACTATGATGGGCTATATTTAAGGAAATAAAAGACAAGTTCTTTTTTCTAGCTGCTTTTGAGATTTCCTCTTTATCACTGGCTTTGAGCCATGTTATTATGATGTGTCTTGGCATGGTTTTCTTCATACTTCCTATGCTTAGTGTTTGTTGAGGTTCTTAGATCTGGGGTTGGTAGTTATCAGATTTGAAGAACTTTGGTATTATTTCTTTAAATATTTTTTCTTCCTCCCCCCATCTCCTTCATGGACTTCTATTATGAGTGTATTAGGCTGCTGGAAATTGTCCCGTGGGTCACAGATTGCTCTTTTGTCTTTATTCTTCTTTGCTCTTTGTTTCATTTTGGGTAATTTCTTTTTTTTTTTTTTAATTATTATTATTTTTTTAAAGATTTTATTTATTTGTTTGACAGAGAGAGAGAGAGAGCAGAAACACAAGCAGGGGGAGTGGGAGAGGGAGAAGCAGGCTTCCCGCCGAGCGGGGAGCCCGATGTGGGGCTCGATCCCAGGACCCTGGGATCGTGACCTGAGCTGAAGGCAGACGCTTAACGACTGAGCCACCCAGGCGCCCCTTGGGTAATTTCTTTTAACTGTACCTTCCAGATCATTAATGTTTCCTTTTGTAATATCTAATCTGCTTTTAATCCCAGCCACTGTATTTTCCACTTCAGATATTGTAATTTTCATCTTTAGAAGTTGGGTCATTTTTTGTATCTTTTATGTCACTTCTTAACTTTTTGAACATATAGAGTTAGAACGGTTTTAATATCCTTAACTGTCTGTGTCATTTCTGGGTGGGACCCAGAATTGATTGATTTTTCTCATTATTATTTTTTTTTTGCATGTTTGGTAATTTTTTTATTGGATGCTAGAATTTTATTTTTTGTGCTGGATATTATTTAGATTTTTATAACATTTGTTTGATTTGGGACATGGTTTTTTTGAAAATGGTTTGATCCTTTTGAGTCTTGCTTTTTAAATTTGTTAGGTGGAAAACAGACTAGTGTTCAGGGCTATCTATTCCTCACCAAGGAAGCAAGACCCTTCTGAGTATTCTACCCAATATCCTGTGAATTGTGTGGTTTTCCCAGTTTGGTGGGTGGGGACAGGCATTATTACCAACCTTGGTGAGTGTTGGTATGGTTTTTGTAATCTTTTCTGGTGGTCTTTGCCCAGACTTGTAATTTGCTTGCACGCATGCTCTGATCAGTACTCTGCTGAATACTGCAGTGGGACCCTCTGCTGATGTCTGTGGTTCTCTCTTTGTGCACCTCTCTGCCCTCTACTAGTTGGCCATGCAAACTCTGTCTGCCTTATTCTTATTCACATAAACTTGTTTCCTTTGCTGCCTTCCTCCCCCATAGTCCCCAGTTCATTTTGGATGACTCAAGGCCATCAACTTTGAGGACCTTTTCCCCAGAAGTAGTAATCATTTTTAACCATCCTCCCACAGCCTTCTCACGATGAATGTAAAGTATTTGCAGGCTGACTGGGGTCAGAAATGTGGTTTGATGAGTTTGTTGAGTTTTTATATGAGCTGGTTGTTCTACTTTGTTCCCTTCTCTATCAACTACATATTAGCTGAGTTCCTACTATATTCCCAGCATCATATAGGGTGCTGAGTGTGAAGTAGAAAGTGAGTATAATACTGTTTCTGAAAAGTTTATATTCTAGAAGGGGAGAGAGAACAAGTGTCACAAAGAAAAATATAAAATTCTTTTTTTAAAGTTCACTAGATGTTTACAAATGAGAGAAATTAATATGGTCTGAGTGGTCAAGGAATGCATTCTTTAAACTAGGGCTGAAAAGGGATTTTGAAAATGTATAAATTTTTAAAAAATACTTATTAGACAGAGCACGAGGTGGGGGAGGAACAGAGGGAGAGGGACAAGCAGACTCTGCTGTGAGTGCAGAGTCCGACATGGGGCTCAATCTCACAACCCTGAGATCACGACCTGAGCCGGACTCAAGAGTTGGATGCTCAACCATCTGAGCCACCCAGGCACTCTGAAAATGTATAAATTTTTAAAACAAACTAGTTACAAGATACAATGGAAGAAAAGATGCCATTTATGAGAAGCATACACTTAACAAGAAAAGTTCTGCATTTATATGAAAAAAACTGTAAAAACTCCCAAAGATACAAACGTAGACTTAATGCTCTGAGTAGGCATACACAACATCTTAAGAATGCAGGTTTTTTCTAAAATCATTTATAAATACAACAGAATCCCAATGAAAGTACCATTAGATTTTTCCTCCTGGGGCTAGACATATTATGAAATTTATTTGCAAGAACAGACAAGCAAGGATAGTTAGGAAAACCTTGAAATTGAAGAGCAGTAAGGATGGGAAGCTAGTCCTCCTACATATGAAAGCATATTATTATAAGCTGTTACAGTTTTTAAAATGTGGTACAGGAAAAGACAGACCAATTGAAGAGAACAGAAAATACAGAAATAAGCCCAATTGTGTGTAGAAATTTAGTCTGTAATAAAGACAGCATTCTAAAATCATTGAAGAAAATATGGAATTTTAAATAAATGGTGATTTATTCGATACCAGAATAGCCAACTGGGAAAGGTAGGATTGGATCTACTTCTCATATTATATACCAGGCTGTTAGTATGGAAAGTAGTAACATCATACGAAGTATTAGAAGAAACCATGAGTGAAGTCTTTTATGGCCTATGTATGGGGAAAACTTTCTTGTGACTCCAAATCCAGAAGCACAAAGGGAAAACATAGGTAAGTATAACTACATGTGTGTGTACCCAAGCACTCATATGTTTCTATATATATGTGTACAAATATTTATATATACACACATTCTCTGTCTCAGTAGAAAATACCATAAAAAGACAATGACAAACTGGAAGAATGCTTGCCACTTACATCATGGACAATGTATTAATCTCTCAAATATATAAAAATACTCTAAAACAGAGGCAGAAAAGGACCAATAACTTTATAAAAAGATGGGCAAGAGATAATGAACAGCAAGTTCATGGAAACAAATATAGATTAGCCTTATATGAAAACGTGCCCAGCCTCACAGTGAAAGAGATGCAAATTAAAACAACACGAGATATCATTTCTTTCCCATCAGATGGGCAAAAGTCCAGCATTTTGACAAATAATTTGTTGGTGACTGTGTTTGGAAGCGAGAGCTAGTATATTACATTGAGAATATGCAGCTTATGACCTGCTGGAGGGGGAGGTGCAAGCCACCTACCGGGGTTGGCAGGTAGCTCCCTCATCATCCAAGTTCCCATTTTGGGGAAGTGGAAACCCCCGGGGTCGTTTTGATTGAAGGCGCAATTTCAGTACACCCACACAAAGGAAGTAAAGTCAGAAGATTTGTTACTTACTGATCCCAGAAACAGAAGTGGGGACGCAGAGATGAATTAAGATTCACTGTGAATTGGTAACTGTTTAGTCTGGATGATAGGGGTTTTCTTACACCATTTTATCATCTTCTGTGAACATTTGAAATTTCCCATGAAAAATGTACAGAGTAGAAGTATGCATAAATGAAGAGAGTGCATTTGGAAGTAAGTCAGTGAGGTCAAAGTGGGCAGTTGGATGTGAAGTTCTTAGACAATTTTATGTTCCTGATTAATTTACAGCAGACTCCTGGGGTGCCTGACTGCCTCAATCAGTATAGCACGTGACTCTTGATCTTGGGGTTGTAAATTCAAGCCCCATGTTGGGTGTAGATATTACTTAAAAATAAAATCTTTAGGGCACCTGGGTGGCTCAGTTGGTTAAGTGTCTGCCTTCGGCCCAGGTCATGATCCTGGAGTCCCTGGATCGAGTCCCGCATCGGGCTCTCTGCTCAGCAGGGAGTCTGCTTCTCCCTCTGACCCTCCCCTCTCTAGTGCTCTATCTCTCTCATTTTCTCTCTCAAATAAATAAATAAAATCTTTAAAAAAGATAAAATCTTTAAAAAAAAAATAAAGCGGACTCCCTTTATTTCCAGTTCACGTTATATGTGGTTTAGGTAGCTGGTAATCTGTGTGTGTGTGTAAATATAGTGTTTAAGATATATTTTTCTGTTAGTGTAATTCTAAATGTTAAACCAACTTATAAAGTATGAAGTTGTTTATTGGCCCCATTATAGGACCTTTGGATTACCAAAAGAATAATTTGGAGGAAGTGAAATTTTTCTCACACTTTTATTTTATTTTTTTTAAGATTTTATTTTATTTTGTGAGAGAATGAGAGACAGAGAGCATGAGAGGGGGGAGGGTCAGAGGGAGAAGCAGACTCCCCGCCAAGCAGGGAGCCCGATGCGGGACTCGATCCCGGGACTCCAGGATCATGACCTGAGCCGAAGGCAGTCGCTTAACCAACTGAGCCACCCAGGCGCCCCTTTCTCACACTTTTTATGAGTGCCATATTTTCTAGGAAATTTTGCTTGGGCATTGATTTGGGTGTACCTTGCAAAAAAGAAAATTGAGGGTGGGATTTTTCTTTTTTTTCCAGATTTAACATTGGGATTGTTCAGTTAGTGATTTTTGAGTATGTCATTTTAATAACTTATAAGGTAATTTTGTATAACTACGTCATACAGAATTACATATAAGATGAAAAACCTATTTTCCTCTAAATATTTTTGCTTTGTATTCCTCATTCATCTTAGAAAGACAGATAATACAATTTATTTAGTGATACCTAATGGCATTAAGCATGATCATGTTAACTTGTTTTCTATTCTACGAACAGATTAATATTAAAATTGGAAGTTTGGATCAATTGCTGAATATTGGAAATTGGATGTAATGGCAGCAGAATTTATAAAGAGTTGCTGTAGAGGATGTTTCTATGGTGGAACAGAAGAGCACAATTGTGAGTTTGGCTTCTTTTGACTTCAACAAACATGTATTTAATGTCTTTTTTATGGGTGGCATTTTTTAATACAAAGATAATGAGATGTATTTCCTAACTTCATGGGGGAGACAGAAACATAAATAGGAGGCACACTAGGTAAGTATTAAAGTACCCTGGAGCATGGTGGGAGAGAGAGAAATTCAACATTCAACCCCAGAGACACCCTGGGACATCACCACCAAGAGAATGGCATTTGGTATAGGAGTCTAGAATGGATTTCAGCCTCTGGGTCGGAAGAAGGAAGGAAGAAAAGGTGAAAACTGGACCTGAGTATGATAGGTGGATGAAATTGTACAGGCAAAGGCAGGGAGAGAAAAGTGTTGGGTGTGTTTGGGGACAATATACTCTGGCAAATGTTTTCATTTGAATAAAGACAATTTCTAGTTTATGAACAGTACATTAAAAAATGCCTTTTCACAAATGAAAGACTAATGGAGAAGAGATCCATTATTTCATCAAGACCCCATATTTATAAAGGACTCCTGGAGAGTTCCCTTTCAATTGCATGGTCTCCTCATCTCTTCAGAGTTACGATTGGAACTTTATTTTTCTCTGGTTTTTTCTTGTATTCCTTCATCTAGAGCATAGCTTTCTAGTATATTTGAGTACGAAGGCTTCTTTTTGCATTAAAACATTTCATAAATTCCTACACAGTAGTTGTACTTTCATTTCTAAAGTCAACAGACAATACTAATTGTACATAAAGATGAACTCTGGGTGTCCCTTACCTCCCCATCCTAAGTCACCAGCTTAGGAATCATATAGCATTTGAGATAGGGATGAAATGGGTCAAAGAAGCTAGCACAGGGAGAGTTGCTATTATATTAGGGTAAAAGTACATTTTATTTTGTGATTAGGTGAAGGTTTTTGTAGACTTTGAGACCTTCAGCTTCTTTTCAGAATTCTTTTATATATTTAAGACTGATGTTAACCACCAGTACTGACAACAAGAATTGCTTTATTGACAGTATTTTACTCGAAAGCATCGTGGAATTAAGTACAAAATAAACTTGTTTTCCATCTGTGAACTCTTTTGTGGGAATGAGTTTCTTTAAAAACTGCTTTTACCATTATGATAAGCTAATATATTTTGGCAATAGTATATTAATTTCTCAAATATTGCCTGGACAGAATTAATGTAGATTCCAGAAGTGCTTGGTAGGATTTACGAGTAGTAGTTTCTGTATCTGCAGTTTGATTACGTAAATACCAAAGCATGCTAACTTTAGATTATTATATATAACTCTACATTCATATTTGTGATTTTTCTTTTCTCTTCTTTTACATGCAGGTTCCAGGGAGAGAGACATTAAAGCAGTCTCCGAGAGTCAGAATACACCTGTCTGTGTCCCTCCTTTGACTGCTGTTTCGGTAAAGCCTCAGGTTGGCTGTACTGAGGATTACTTACTTTCCAAATTACCATCTGATGGCAAAGAAGTACCATTTGTGGTGCCCAAGTTTAAGCTATCATATGTTCAGCCCAGGGTACAAGGAACTCCTTCACATCTGGAGGGACTTGAAGGTAAACAATGACACGGCAGGATTTAAGAATCAACACATAGCATTTAAATGCTATTGTTTCTGTGATTTTGCTGTTTTGTATCTTGAAAGATATAAAATTATTTTATGTATAAATTTTTATTTTTTATGTTTTGCTTTTTCTGTAGAGGAACTTAATGTATAATATTTTTGAAAGGTCCCATTATGAAATCTGACCACAATCAACACATTTGTATGTAAATGTGGCCTTTAAAAAAATTTTTTTAATCAATTAATTAACATAGAGTGTATTATTAATTTCAGAGGTAGAGTGGAGTGATTCATCAGTTGCATACAACACCCAGTGCTCATCACATCATGTGCTGTATTTAATGTCCATCACCCAGTTACCCCATCCCCCCCCCCCATCTCCCCTCCAGCAACCCTCAGTTTGTTTCCTATGGTTAAGAGTCTCTTATGGTTTGTTTCCCTCTCTGATTTCGTCTTATTTTATTTTTCCTTCCCTTCCCCTATGTTCATCTGTTTTGTTTCTTAAATCCACGTATGAGTAAAATCATGTATTTGTCTTTCTCTGATTGACTTATTTCGCTTAGCATAATACTCTCTAGTTCCATCTACGTCCTTGCAAATGGTAAGATTTCTTTTTCTTTTTCTTTTTTTTATGACTGAGTAATATTCCAGTGTATATGTAACTTCCCAGTCTAAATAGCCACTTGAGTGAGATAGATTCATTGGGTAGATTTTGGCTGATGTTGTTAGAGGCCAGTGGAGTAATGATAAGAAGAAGAAACAACATGTAATTCTTGTATGTTAAAAATAATTTGGGGTGCCTGGGTGGCTCAGATGGTTAAGCGTCTGCTTTCGGCTCAGGTCATAACCCCAGAGTCCTGGGATCGAGTCCCGCATCGGGCTTCCCGCTCCTTGGGAGCCTGCTTCTCCCTCTGTTTCTCTCTGTCTCTCATGAATAAATAAATAAAATCTTAAAAAAAAATAATAATAATAATTTGCTTTAGTCCATTGAAACACTGTCACAATGTTTTCCCCCCCCTCAAAGTTTTTTATGAAAAATTTCAAACATACAGAGAAGTTGAAAGAATACAACAGTGAATACCCATATATCCACCACATAGAATCGATCATTAATATTTTACCATACTTAATCACATATCTATTTATCCATTCCTCTTTCTGTTATTAATCCTTTTTGAGTTGGGGGTGGTGGAGAACACATTTCACAGTAAATTGCAGACATTAATACACTTCCTTCTAAATACTTAAGCATACATGTAATTTACCAGAGTTCACTATCTGTTTACAGTTTTCTTCTTTTGACATAAACCTTATACACAAAGAACTGCCTCAGTTTTAAGTTTGTTTTTGTTGAGTTTGGACAAATGCATGTAACAGTGTAATCCAAAATCCTATCAAAATCTAGAATATTTTTCCAAATATGTTTTTCTGCCCCATCCTTTCTTCTCATTCTGGGATTCCAATTAGACATATGTTGGACTTTTTTATATTGTTTTATGGGCCTCTGAGACTTCTTTTGCTTGTTGTTGTTCAATGTTTTTTCCCCCTCTCTTCTTAAGATTGGATATTATTAATTTTCAAGGTCACTGTCTCTTTCCTCTGTCAGCTCCATATAGCTGTTAGGCCCATCCAGTGAATTTTTATTTTAGACATTGTGTTTTTCAGTTGTTGAATTTACATTTGGTTCTTTTTTGTAGATTCTGTTTCTTTGCTGTGATTTCGTTTTCTTTTTTGCATTATTGTAAGCCTATTTTCTTCTATGTCTTTGGGCTTTAGTATCTTTATCTGCTAATTCTAACATCTGAGGCTCTTAGGTTTGGATTCTGTGGTTTGTCTTTTTTTGGAGAATGGGTCAGCTTTTCATGTTTCATTGTGTATGGAGTAATTTTGGATTGTATTCTGGGTTTTGGATGTTGTGTCGTGGACACTTTAGAATCTGTTATATTACTCTGAGATGAGAGGGTTTTGTTTTTTTTTTCTTTTCCTTTTCCTTTTTTCTTTCTTTTAACCAGGCAATCAACTTGGTTGGGCTATGCTGCAAATTCTGTCTCAGCTTGGTTTTTGTATCCTTAGTTGGAGTCTGCCCCGCATATGTGTGGCTCAGGGATCAGCCAGATATTTGAGCAGACTTTATTCACAGAATTCCGGGCTTTCTCCTTTCCAAGGTTCCCACCTTACTTTCTAGCAGCTGTGGTTGCTCTGAACTCTGCCATCTGGTTCTTTAGGCCAGAAAGAGTGTGGATTTTCCTTTGTCATTCTATCTGCCCTGTGCAGTGCCAACTTTGGCTTGTGCTTAGGCTAACAGTGGCCATTCCCTTTCTTCCAAGAGTCTGTGCTGTCCTGAATATGCCCTGCTTCTGCTCACTCTCCAGTCCCTTCATGGTTTTTGTTCATTTTGTTTTTGGTCTACAGTATACTGTTGTTATCTGTAGGAGACTTGGGTTTGGTAGGAGTGATTGACCGACCTTCCTTCCTTCCCTCCTTCCCTCCCTCCCTCCCTCTCCCCCACTTCCCTCCCTTCCTTCCTTCTTCAAGGAAAGAGGAACCCTGTGCTTGGCCCACCACCTTGTTTTGCACGTCAGCAGTGTCTCTCAAAAACAGTGTTTAAAAGCTCTTGGCTATGGTGTACCCTGATCATTGGTCTTTCTCTTTCTCTTGTACTTGTTAACAGGATTGGGATTAAACCACGTAAACAGTTTTGCAGTCTGTTCTATTCGTATCACACATTGTGAACATGTTTTCATACTCATTGCTTTTTAATGGCCCCATAATATTAAATCTATAGATGTACCATAATTTATTTAATAAATTCTGTATTCTTAAACATTTAGGGTATCTTATGTATTATTTTCATAATCAGAAAATAGGAAATACCTACCTGGCAATGTGTGGTAGTTCTTCTTTTGTCTGTTTTATTAGATCACTAGAACACAGATTGCTTTTTGATTTGAATGAATGAGGAAATTGGTTTACACTTAAATTATAGGCTCAAAGAGTATGTGGTAAAGCCATCTGATTTTGATCATATTGGAGAGAAAGATGACTTTATTAGAGTCAAGAAAGTGTTCTTGGTGTCTAACTCTAGAAGTCAGGCGCATGCTGTATGTGTATGTGCTTGTGAGTAGTGATGGGCTGACAAGGAAATTTTGAGAGGGAGATAGGGCAGACCACTGTCAGTAATGACTGAAATTATGTGTCAGGTATTTGAAATGTGTTTTGTTTCATTGCTTATTTACTGATGGGTCTGATTACAGCCGTTGCTTACTGCTTTGTAACACACAGATTCTATCATTAACATCTTACTGAGCTTGCTTTATACCTATCCATTAAGAGAATGCATTTTGCATAAATATTGAAATTTTAAATAGAGCTTTTGAGAGGTATAATGTAAATGTTACTTTATGTTAATTTTATAGCACTGTGGTTCTATAAATTGAGAGAAATTCCTCTTGAACTTTAAAAATGGTATCACTGTATACCGTTTGAGGGGAAAATTGGAATTCTGTAAAGGAGAAATGAAATCAGAATATTCTTTTTTAGGTATAGCCTATAAAGGTAGTGAGTCATCTTTGGTGCTCTACTCCTGACAGTATTCTTGTTACCATGAACAGACTTGTGGTGGCGCTTGTGTGCTGAATGATTTAAGGGTCCTTACAAAGGTCCCTGGCATCATAACTCCCTCTTGGCACCCCTCTGCCTATGTATTGTGCTTGGATTACACACATAGCTATTTGAACTGGGGTGAGTCTTTTTCCGATTTGGGGCCATGCTGGATAATGATGCTTATGCACATTCTTGTACGAGTCTCGAGGTGCACACGTGCGCGCATTTCAGTTGTGTGTGTGTCCCAGAATGAGAATTGCTCTGTGTATCTCAGCATGCGGTCAATTTTTATAAATGTTCTGCATCTTCATCAAAAAATGATAATCTTTTTACTTAAAAGTTGTTCTTTGTGTAAGTAGAAAAATGAAAGGAAACTCAGATCACAAAATACAGAATTGTTTATGGGGCAAAAAAAAAATGCTAAAAATTTACCAGACTGTCTTGAGAGCAGGGTTCATGGCTGATCCCTGGCAGAAGATTCCATGCAGAGCTCAATAAATGTGTGCTTATTTTTTTATATTTCAAACACATGTGATTTGGTGTCACTTGAGACAAAATTTTTTCCTCTGCCGTGGATGCACCAGCTGTTAGCTAATAACTCCAAGAAAAGGGTGTTATAGGGGGCCTGGGTGGCTCAGATGGTTAAGTGTCTGCCTTCGGCTCAGGTCATGATCCCAGGGTCCTGGGATCGAGTCCCGCATCGGGCTCCCTGCTCGGCGGGGAGCCTGCTTCTCCCTCTGCCTCTCTCTCTGTCTCTTATGAACAAATAAATAAAATCTTTAAAAAAAAAGAAAAGAAAAGAAAAGAAAAGGGTGTTATAAAACTTTAGACTTACTTTCAGGATCTGCCAGAGCATCTTTTGGAGATCGAAAGGTAGAACTTTCCAGTTCATCCCAGCACGGACCCAGCTGTGATATATACAACCCATGCTTTAGTTATCAGCACATTTCACCCGATTTGAGCCGGCGCCTTCCTCCTCGTTCAGAAGCAGTGAGACTGTATGGATCAGGTATGAAAATTTTTTTGTGTGTTTTCTCTTTTATTTATTTATTTATTTAGTTAGTTATTTAGTTATTTATTTAATTCTTATGTTAATCCCCATACATTACATCATTAGTTTTAGATGATGTGTTCCATGATTCATTGTTTGTGCATAACACCCAGTGCTCCATGCAGAATGTGCCCTCCTCAGTACCCACCACCAGGCTAACCCATCCTCCCACCCCCCTCCCCTCTAGAACCCTCAGTTTGTTTTTCTGAGTCCATCGTCTCTCATGGTTCGTCTACCCCTCCGATTTCCCCCGCTTCATTCTTCCCCTCCCGCTACCTTCTTATTCTTCTTTTTACTCTTTGTGTTTCTCTTTAACAAATGTAGAAATCAAGTTAAATCTAAGACCCTGGAAGAAATGATTCTTATCAAAAACAAAAAAAAAAAAAAGAGAAAAGCAGGCTTCAGAAGTGATATGGTAAACATGATGATGTCTCTGTGGTATTCTATTTAATGGAAAAATTGAAGGATTAATTAATTATGTGTATTGGTAGTTCCAAATTCTATTTTATTTGTCCTTCTTTGAAAAGTTTCATTTTTTGTATATCATCTATCCATTCAGAAATTCTACAACAGATATTTATTAGCTTTTTTTTTTTAAAGATTTTATTTATTTATTTGACAGAGAGAGAGATAGCAAGAGCAGGAACACAAGTAGGGGGAGTGGGAGAGGGAGAAGCAGGCTTCCCGCGGAGCAGGGAGCCCGATGTGGGGCTCGATCCCAGGACCCCGGGACCATGACCTGAGCCGAAGGCAGACGCTTAACTATTGAACCACCCAGGCGCCCCTTTTTTAGCTTTTTTCTTTCCTGCTCCAGTCAGTGAAAATTATAAATTTACAAACTCATGAGATTACAGATGTAAACAAAGAAAACAAAATGCCTACATGATCATAGAAGTTTCTTAGTTTAATATTTGAGGACTGTATCAATTTTAGACTGTCATACATATCTGATTCACAAAATTCTGTGTTTTAGGTTTTTAATGTATATAGCTATCTCAACAACTGAATTCATGGTGAGGTGCTAAAAACAAGGCAGAAGTATTTATTTAAATATTTATTTCAGCACTGTGTTAGAATACACAGTTAATATACCGAGTTCCATTCTTTAAGAATCTTCTAGTTTATCTCTCTCTGTCAAATAAATAAATAAAATTAAAAAATAAAGGGGGGGTGCCTGGGTGGCTCAGTTGGTTAACTGTCTGCCTTTGGCTCAGGTCATGATCCCAGGGTCCTAGGATTGAGCCCCCACTTTGGCTCCCTGCTCAGTGGGGAGTCTGCTTCTCCCTCTCCCACTTGTGTTCCCTCTCTCTCTCTGTCAACTAAATAAAATCTTTAAGAAAAAAGAATCTTCTAGTTTAGGTGGGAAAACTAGAAATATAAACTAGAAATACGGAATTCAGTATTTTTTTTAATGTAGTAAATGCTCATTATGTAGATGAATTGCATTTAGCACAGAAAACCTACATTCTCTTACTAGAGTATTCCTATGGAATGGAGAAATGTAATGTAAGCAAAAAGAACGAATTTTTCCTGCTTGATATTTGATGTGGTTGTGAAAATGTGTTGTTTGATTTATGTTGGTTTCTATTTAGAACAAAAGTAAAATAATTGAAAAAAAAATTTAAACTTTAGTAGACTTTATTTCTTAAGTAGTTTGCATTAATATTCATGATGCAGTCCTATAGAGATTTAGTTCATGGTGATTAAGTAAAATTCCAATGTTTATTCTTCTTTAATATAAAGAAATTTTTCCATGTCCCTTCATAGTTTGTGATTTAAGGACCAGCAAACTTCCCAGTTCCCCTGGACTAAGCAAGTCTATGTTTGATCTTACAAGTTCATCTCAGTGGTTCATGCAGGTGAATTATTGATATAAATTTAATTGTATACGATAATTTATTTTCAAGCTAAAAATTGAGGAATGTGTGAATTACGTTAGAAGCAACATGTGTAGATCTTTTGTAGATAAATCTGTGGTAATAGCTGAAGAATAAACACTTAGCATTTCCCATGTGCATTTTTTCACTCAGCTGAATACTAAAAGGCAGTCTTTTTTTAAAAAAAATCTTACATCTCTCAGTTGGTAGGTACTCAGGCAATCTTGAAGGCAGTTGGAATTTAAAATGGTATGGTTAGAAGTGCTTATTGATTTAACCTTCCTTATTGAAGATAGCTACCTACTTAGTAAAAATTAGTATTTCTATTGAGATACAGGATTTTAATTATTCATTAATATTAACACAGCATCCTCCTGTTTTTGAAATAGAATAATTTTTTGATGTTTAAAAAGTTTCTTTTAAAAGTATAAATAAATTGTGATTATTATTAAAAATTAGAAAATATAGAGTTAAGCAAAGTAAAAAGACAAATCACCTATATTCCTGTAACTGAGGTTAAAAGCACCATGAAAATACTGTTACATATACTTGCCGGCTTTTTTCCATGTGCATGTATATGCATGTATTTTATTAAAATGGAAATGTATTCTAAATAATCGTTTGTAGTCCTCAGTCGAGTTAATTTTTTGCAGAATTACTTCTTTATAGCACCAGCTCTTGAACGTGTATCAGAATAGGTTGGAGAGCTTGTTAGAATACAGGCTGCCCGGTCTCACCCCCAGAGCTTTTAATTCAGTAGCTCTGCACTGGGGGCTTCAGTTTATATTACCAACAAGTTCCCCGCTGATTTTGATCTTGCTGGTTCAGAGGGACCACACTTTGATGACTGCTACTTAACAGGTTTTTAGGTAATAGGACGCTTCCAAATGTATTCTTATTTTTATGGGTACTTTCAAGTAGGAAACATAAGCAGTAACCCCTTTTTCCTTATTATAAAACCAAACCCCAAACAACAAAGGCTTTCCCCATATGTGATTGAGTAAGCTATTGAAGATTTTCCTGATAACACACACAGAAAGCTTTTCTCCCCCTTTAGTGTCTAAAAGAGGGGCATTCTGACCAATAACACTTTCAACATGGTTAGCATGCAGTTTGATACTAGGGTGGGTGTTGGGGCATAAGTTTGAGAATCTTTAAAGTTTGATGTGTGATATCGGACTTAAGAACAATTTTTATCTCTAGAGACATGATTCATGGTCCAGCATGCCTAGTACTTCTTCTTCAAGGAAAAATTCCCAGGGCAGTAACAGAAGCCTGGGTAAGGAATAAAGTGCCTTCTTTTTATATTCTTTTTTGAAGTGAATTATTTCTACCTAATAGTAATTTGAGCAAATATATGGTAAGGTAAAAAAGAAAACCTCCAGGTGGTTATATCTGTTATCTGCATATGAATACTCAGATCAGGTGGCCCATTTTTTAGTGTTCAGACATGAATGCATCTTTAAAAAAACACAAAACAGTTAAATGCCTTTTGTTTGTTTTGAAGTATTCTAGTGAAGGAAGTTCCAGAAGCGTCCAGGATTAAAGCCATATCAGTGTTATTTGGGAAAGTTTATCTTAGTTTTAACTTAAGTCTCAGACTATATTTGAGTTAAGTTTTCAAGCCATGTACTTTTTATAGGAGGTCTTTCCCTAGCACTCCAATAATAACATTGAAGTGTGATTTTTGTCTTATTAAAGTGGCAAATTTCCATTTTTTAGAAAAAAAAATAATAATGGTATTTTTCAGTTGTGCTCTTAAAATTGGATTGTATCAAAGCGTAATTGGATTAGAAGGATTGCATAGCCTTTCAAATGTCCTTGTCCTTTTACAATTTAGATACAATTACTCTGTCAGGAGATGAAAGAGATTTTGGGAGATTGAATGTGAAAGTGGTTTATAATTCTTCAGTAGAGCAGATCTGGATCACAGTTTTGCAGGTAAGTTAATTTAGTTAATATCAGCTTTTCTTACAAAATTGAATGTTTTCATTATAAACATCTGTTACTCTCTCTGTGGAACAGGACAATACCTTCTTTAGAATTTAGGATTCTGTGGTATTTTGTAGAAAACAATATTTTAAAAAGACTCTAAAGAAAATAAATCTGTAGGTCTGATGGAATTGTGGTTTTAACCTCAAGAAGGAAATTGATATGATGTCTGGAACATTAAATGTCAAATTATTTTAATGTAGATGAAACAAAAGATCTCTGTACACTAATGTTTACTTTTTATAGTTTTTATTTAAGTCATTAACTCAAGAAATACATCAAATATTTGTATTGTTAGGGTCCTCTGTAAAATTCAAATTGTATTTTTAATTTTTTTAGTGCAGAGATTTAAGTTGGCCTTCTAGTTGTGGAGACACTCCTACTATTTCAATAAAAGGAACACTAACATTGCCCAAACCCGTGCATTTCAAATCTTCAGCAAAGGAGGGCTCTAATGTAAGTGGCTTTTTGTGTTTGAATTTCTTTTTGTGGTTTTTTTTTTTTTTCATATTTGTCACTTTAAACTATGTGAAGAATTGGAATGAGAAAGTGTTTTATTTTGGGGAAATTGCAAATTACATATTCCTTGCTTTTTAAACACAATTTTGTGCCTCAAAAATACTTGATATTTCATTGTCCAATATTAAGATGCATTTAAAAAGAAAATCTTAAATCACTAAAGTATATACAAAATGAACAATATCTAAGGAGACTACTTTTCTTGTATGAAAGGAAAATAAATGTCTGTATTTTCATCTTCTTTCCTCCTAGCCCACTTTGATTTTGAAGAGTAATTGCATGATTGTAATAAATTTCTTTTAAGTATTCCCAATTATTATAATCGGAAGACTTGTGATCCTATATTTGGTTTTACAGATTTTAGATTTCACATTAGTTTAAATACATCTTCATTTTTGTCTTCTCATATATGTTGAAAGGCTAGTGTTTTTCCATGCAAATGAAAGGTGTTTTCTGTAAGGACATATGATTTAAAAATAAGGTAATTCAAATAACTAATAACCATGAAAAAATTTACTCTCACTAGTAATTATAGAAATAAAAATTTAAATTACACATTGCTCTCTCTTTGCTTATTAAAATTAGGAAAAAATTTGTAGGATACGCTAGAACAGAGAACTTTCTGGAAATTATTTTTACAAAACACATCAAAGCCTTAAAATATTTATACGCCTTTACATAGTAATTCTACTTAGAATGTGTTCCATGAAAATAATTTAAAATGCAAGTAAAAAATATATAAAGTATTCTTGGCAATTTTGTTCATAGGGGAATACCTGGAAACTATCTAAATGTCTTATATAGGGGAATGGTTGAGAAAATTCATGGTATATATACCATGGGCATTATACTTTCTTTGGATTGCTGTAACAAAGTACCACAAGTTGGATGGCTTAGAACAACAGAATTTTCTTTCTCACAGTTTTGGAGAAAGTCCGAAATCAAGGTGTCAGCAGTGAGGGAGAATCTGTTCCATGCTGCTCTCCTAGCTTCTGGTAATGGTCAGCAATCTCTGGCATTCCTTGACTTCATTCTGTGCTTCCATCTTCACATGCCATTTTCCATCTGTCGCTGTGTCTTCACTCCACTGTGACCTCACCTTAACTTCACCAGTTACATCTTTAAGGACCCTGTTTCCAAATAAGGTCACTTTCTGAGTTACTGGACATCAGGGCTTCAGCATATCTTTTTTGGGGCCAAAATTAAACCATAACACCGTGCGATCGAATACTTAGGCAGCTATAAAGAATAATGTTTAGGAAGAGTTTTTAAGGACATGGAAAAATGTTCTTAGTAAGTGAAAAGGCAGTAATCAAAATTGATGAACCTGTCTTAGTATCTCACTTTATGAAAATATGCATTATAGAAAGTCAAGATGGAAATAAGTCTTAACTCTGGTTATAATGCTGACATTCAAGATGAATCCTTCCTGTTTAATTCAGGATCACTTTTTGATTTTCAAATAAAACTAAGTTAACTTAGGAAAAGTTGGGATAATTTGTTCTCATATTAAAACTTGCATGGAATCTTACTCTTAAAATTTGTTATTATTTATCAACTTGTTTACCTCTATTGTAGCAAAATGTGAAGTGGACCAGCACACTTGCATTAGGTGTAAGCTCATTGCATCTCAGTTTAAAAACATTTTATGTATACTAAATTGTTGGTGTGATCCTGTGGCTCAAGACTCTGAGAGAAAAAGATAGCTTTGGTGGTTGGGAGGCTCTCAGAAACACAATTCTGACTATACAGATGTAAGCAATTACAATAAAAGTGAAAATGTGGGCACAGTATTTAAAATATTGATGTTAGTTGTCCAGATATCTTGTCTTTTCAAAAGGCAAAAGAAAGCTCCTTTTCAAAAGAATGCAGTAAACATGGGAAGAAGGAAGTGTAGAGCAAAATCAGTCTAATGTCAAGAAGATGTTAGCCCATGGTAAGCCAAGGCTTTTAAAATATTAGGGGTAATGAAAGGAACATTTGAAAATACTCTGAGCACAGAAAACCCTGACTTGCTTGCCTGGGGTGGATGATTATGAGAGAAGGTAGCGCTTTTCAAGACTGATTTCCAGATTGGAAAGAGTGAAGCAAACATCACTGAAGAAGAAATCAAAGCCCAAAGTAGGTGGGAAGAACATTAGACAAAGAATAGAAGTAATTCATGTCTCTTAATGTGAGCAATTAGATTTGGGGTACTTAGCACACATGAGATTCTTAAACCACTTACTAACTGTTGAAAAATTGTGGTGAATAGCAGGAAAGAGACCCCAGAACCAAAGATGGAAAACAATCCAATTTTCAAAAAGGAGAAAAGCTATATTCTGCTTAACTTGGTGTTGATGTTGACCTGAATTCCTTAGTAATTAAAAGGATGATTTGTGAAATTAAGAAAGGCAATATTCAGGATAAATTCTGGAAAAACAATTCATGGTCATTGTCATTTTAAGTTACATTGAAAAATATTTTTTTTGTTGTAAAAAAAATTGTATCTTCCTTTCCTAGATCATAAAATGTTATTTTCTTTTCTTTTTTTTTTTTTTTTAAGATTTATTTATTTATTTATTTGAGAGAGAGAGAGAATGAGAGACAGAGAGCATGAGAGGGAGGAGGGTCAGAGGGAGAAGCAGACTCCCTGCCGAGCAGGGAGCCCAATGCGGGACTCGATCCCGGGACTCCAGGATCATGACCTGAGCCGAAGGCAGTCGCTTAACCAACTGAGCCACCCAGGCGCCCTTCGTTTCTTTTGTATCGGTGTATCTTTTTTTCAGTCCTTCTATTTATATATTTTTTATTATTTTCTTGTGTTTTTTTTAGACTATTGAATTTATGGAAACTTTTGTATTTGCTATTAAACTCCAAAGCCTACAAACTGTAAGGCTTGTATTTAAGATTCAAACCCAGACTCCCAGGAAGAAAACCATCGGAGAATGCTCACTATCACTAAGAACTCTCAGCACACAGGAAATGGATTACTCTTTGGATATAATGCCACCTTCAAAAATTTCTGTAAGTGATAGAACTATTTTGTGGGTGAGTTTTGGTTGGAGTGTAATTTGAACACTAGAATACACTAGAGGATCAGGAAGGCTCTCAAGAAGCAATAATAATAATAATGTCATTGTTAAATAATACTTTTTAAGTAATTGATAAAAGGTTAACAGAGACCCTTTGCCTTCTCTATTGCAAAATAACCTTAGGGTTACCTTCTCCTAGTACATTTTATTTAAATGTTTCACACTTGAGGGAGAATAATCCTGAAGTTAGTTAGCTGATAATTTAGGAATAGCAAGAAAGAATCATAAACTCCAAACTCAGAGATTGCCTTAAAATAGATTAGGAAGGTGCATGAGTAAGCTAAATATTTGTCCATAAATTGGGTAAAATGGAGGTTCTTACAGCTGGGGTGTTGTTTGTTTGTTTGTTTTGGTAAAGAACTTGATTATCTATCTGTACTGCATATTGATTTCTGAGACCTGATTTTAATTCTCTTAACTAATCAGCTGAAGACTGTCTTTAAATTGTTTAGAAATCCCTAATAATTTAGTTCTATAGTTTTGTGTCAGGGTTAACAGTTATAGAAATCAGTCATAAGCTTCTATAAGGTCAAACCTATATGTGACTTTAAGTTTATATGGGATTTATATTTTACCTGCCTTCAAAAATATTTAATATAACTTTAAGTGAATCACCTGGGGAGCTTTACATGCCCACACCTAAACCAATTAAATCAGAATTTTGTGGGGGTAGGGGGCGAGGAGAGCTGGAGTAGGCCGGAAGCATCTGTAGTTTTCAGAAGCTTTCTGGGTGATTCTACGATGCAGCCTGGCTTGAGAACCACTGAATTAGAGGGGAATTAAATTAGAGATTAAAAAATAAAAAAAACAAAAGATTTCTCTAATTGATCAAGAAGTGACATTTTTAATAGGTATTTCTTGTGTATTATTTTCTGTCTCCATCTCCAGTGTGTTCTCTGTACAGCATTTATTACAACTTAGAATTCAGTTACTTGTTTTAAACAAAACTAGGCTCAAGCTTCCATCTGTTTTCTTCATATTTTACTGTGCTTAGTAAGGGCCTGTGATATTCTTGGCATTGAGTATTGGTACATAGGTAGGTATGAAAGAATAAATGATGAATGAAAGCATGCTATATTAGATTATTTTTATATTCTGTTTAAATATAGCAAATTTGCTTTGTAACTGACAGGAGTTTGTCACCTGCATCTTTGAAATTAGCTTGGTAGACAGTAATCTGCAACCGTATTTTACAGAAGGCACAAATGCGCTGTTCAAGTGGATAATTCATATATTAAAACTTTAAAGACTAGTAGAGTACATCAAAAGATAACTTAGCAAAGCTATTTTCTGGGGAATTGAGATGTTAAAATCTTATCTGCCTTGGAGAATCTGAATAAATGATTATGGCTAAGTTTCCACCAAATTATTTCATGTATTAGAGGTCTTACAAACATTTGTGTATCTGTTGTGTGCTAGGTGCTAGGGATACAAAAAGATTGATGGCCTGAAAGAAGAGCTATACTGGACTGGTGAATTTATGTTACTCAGGGTGAATGTTTCATTTATTGGCTAATGCAAAAATAGTAAGCTTTGTTTCCTGTGTCAAGGAGGAAAATTGATACTCTGATGGTGAAAGTGACAGAGCCAGACTTACACACTGACGACTATGTCACCACAAACAGCAGAAGTTTCGTGTAGAGCTAATGTTTTCCTTGGTACAGAATTGTTGACCTTGACAAATAGTAATGGAAGTATTTATTTGAGAACCCAGATTTCTGTGTTGAATAATGCGGAAGAGGTTCGCAGGCAGAAATAGCTGGTATTTACCCTTAACCACACAGCTGAGGTGGTGTTAGGTGACTTAATGCTCACACCAAACTTAGGAGCTTTCCGCTCTTGTTATCCCTACCGTGGAGACCAACACATTGAAGCACTTGCCTGGTTTCCTCCAGCTGGTAGTTGGTGAGCCAGGATTTGAACAGAAGCACTGATTCCAGGACCGGCTCTCTTAGCTCGACTGTATATCGCTCCCGCCAAGGAGATATTCTCCAACATCACCAGATCATGGTTTCCTCCAATTATGCTTAACTTGTCACTTTCAACAACAATTCTAGGAAGGCTCAGAAAGTTTTCTTTTCTTTGAAAAATGATACATTATTCAGGACCAGAGATCATATCTTATATCTTCCACAGTTTTGTGCCCATTAAAAATGCACTGAATATATACCTGCTGATTGATTGGAATTTTAATTTTTTGGTGATTGGGAGATTGACAGCTACTTTGAATAGTTTTTCATGATCTAAATTAATATCCTGGAACATAATAAGTAAGTTGAATAAGTAAGTTGAATTCCAAAATGACACTGGCAAGTTAGGAATGGCCAACCCTTTGCCAAATGCTGCTCGGTGAGAGTGAGCTCTACGAGTGTGTAACATTGAGGGAAGTTTTTGCCACCATTAGGTATTTTCATAAGTATGATCACATTATGGGTACAAAACCATAATAGAAACATTTTATCCATAGTTTCCTTGTTTTGTGAACAGTAAGTAATGTCCTTTTTAATCTATTTTTTTAAATGCTGAGAACAAGAGCATTTTTTTTTTTAACCAGCAAAGACTTTAATTTATTTTAACTTTTCCCTTCTCTGTATCTCCTTCATTTCATTGTTTGCCTCAAGTTTTCTTTGACCTTTTCCTTATTATTTACTGCCTCATCACTTTCACTAGCTCACTTCTTGCTGACTTTCTTCTTTGGCTGGCTGTCATTCAGCATAGTAATTCAGCTCTTAGCCCACACATTTGTTCCTTGTAGTAATCCTTTTTCTGAGTTGGGTAGCACCTACTGTCATGTCTACAATTAGGAAAAATAATGGTGATTTTCATATTGGAAACTTTTTATTGTAGTTTGTGTATTCTTAAAAATAATTCAAGTGACTACATTTAAGTGTTTTGGAAGTGTGCTTTTTTGGTGTTTATTTTGGTGACATTTTCCTTAGTACAGCTGCTTAGGAATTTAATTTGTGTTCAATTTGAATTGTCTTTTGACTGCCCTGATTTTGAAGGATCAAGGATGTAGGTGTGACTTGGATTTTCAGAATCCATGAAAAGTGAGTACCTCATATTTACAGAATTCATGACATTTATCCTAACCATCTTTTAGATCATAGCTTTGTGTGTCAATAAAAAGCAGTGTTTTCAAAACTTCTAACTGTAGCTCTTTATTTCTGAATTTTTGAAATGTCCCCAAAACCTTATTTTTAATTCTCAAATGGCACTTTTTTGATACCCAGGTTTGCCATGCAGAACTTCAACTGGGGACTTGTTTTCAAGCCGTAAATAGCAGAATTCAGTTACAAATTCTCGAGGCACAGTACCTCCCAAGCTCTTCAACACCTCTCACTTTGAGTAAGTATATCCGTGGTTCAAAATGGAATCTTCAGAAAATATTACTAAAAGGTAGTTTATCCTACATTTCTTAATAGTGGACATTAAAATCTTAGATACTTTTGTTATTTAACTTAAATACCTTTAACTTAAAATTACTTTATTAGATTTCAAATTTTAGCCATTGTGCCTACTTTAATCCATGGTCGCTTGGTTTCTTGTTTTGTTTTGTTTTTAAAGATTTTATTTTTTGACAGAGAGAGACAGCAAGAGAGGGAACACAAGCAAGGGGGAGTGGGAGAGGGAGAAGCAGGCTTCCCGCAGAACAGGGAGCCCAATGCAGGGCTTGATCCCAGGACCCTGAGATCATGACCTGAGCCGAAGGCAGATGCTTAATGACTGAGCCACCCAGGCCCCCCTTGTTTTGTTTTTTTATTAACATATAATGTGTTATTTGTTTCAGATGTATAGGTCTGTGGTTCATCAGTCTTACACAGTTCACAGCGCTCACCATAGCACATACCCTCCCCAATGTCCATCACCCAGCCACCCCATCCCTCACCCCCCCCCCACTCCAGCAACCCTCAGTTTCCTGAGATTAAGAGTCTCTTATGGTTTGTCTCCCTCTCTGGTTTCGTCTTGTTTCATTTTTCCCTCCCTTCCCCTATGATCCTCTGTCTTGTTTCTCAAATTCTTCATATTGGTGAGATCATATGATACTTGTCTTTCTCTGACTGACTAATTTCGCTTAGCATAATACCCTCTATTTCCATCCATGTCATTGCAAATGGCAAGATTTCATTTTTGATAGCTGCATAATATTCCATTGTGTGTGTGTGTGTGTGTGTGTGCACACACCACATCATCTTTATCCATTCATCTGCATGCTCGCTTGGTTTTTATCCATTTGATGGATATTCCTTATTGATCTCATTAGTTAATATAGGTTGAGTGTCCAGAGGACGGTCTGATATATTTCATCAGCCTAGATAATTTATCCTTTCTCTGGTTCGCCCTTCGTTGAATGTTCTGCTAACCAGAAACTTAATTAAAAAAACAAAACAAAACTGAAAATATCAAACACAAACCTTGAAACACTTTTCCTTCCCTGTGCCTTGGGGCACAAGAAGGGTTCTACTTTGCGTTGTGTAGGCTTGGTTCACATGGCTGTTCCTAGAGCTGGGGTTTGTGGTCAGTTGAACCTGGAGGGCTAAGAGTGGGGTAAGAGTGCTCCTTTATTCTGCTACAAGAAGAGAGAATATTGGGAGGCAGGCCAAAGCAATGGATGTCCACCATAACTACAAAGACTGAAAATAAATGCAACTGAGCATTCAGTTCAGGAAGCTAGGAAAACAACAGCAAACACAAGGGAAGGTAGAGGTAAGGAATTAAAGGTAAAGTTGAAGTTGATAATTATGGAGACAACAGCAAAAGACATAATCAATAAAACCAAAAGCTTTTTCTTTGAAAAGATCAGCGAAATAGACAAACCTGGAGTAAGCTGGATTGAACAAAAAATAAAGAAAACATGAACAAGGAAGAGGATAACATCTCAAATTCAGAAGAGGTTCGATAATAAGATAATACCATTTAAAACGATACCAATTCATTTGAACATCTATATAAAATAACTGATTTTCGGAGAGAAAAAAAACTGTTGAAATTCACTCCAGAAGAGGGAGAACAGCTGAAAATGATAACCATGTGTAGGTAGTTAAAGAATTGCCTCTAATAAAAGCACCAGGCCAAGATGATTTTACTGGTGGAGTCTACCAAACTTTCAAGGAACATTGAATTCCTATTTTATATAAGCTGTTCCAAAGCATGAGAAACGATGGAAAAACTAACTTTATGAGGTGAGCATATTCTCAATATCAAAACAGAAAAGACAGTGCATAGAAAAAATAGCTATAGACTGTTACCACTTATGTAGATAGATGGAAAAATCATAAAATAAAAATAAGCAAATAAAATCCAACTTGGCATGAAAAGAATAAATTACCAGGACTACATCGGGTTAGTTGTAGGAAACAAGGATGTCAGTACAGATGTGGTCTATTACATTAAGAGGTGTCTTTCTTTAATCAACACTGCTAATTGGGGTTATCCATGATCTGCATTTTGTAAATCTAATGGTCCGTCTAGGTCCTCACTTTACAGCCCCCTCCTTTCTGGGAGTTCCCTCCTGCCTTTCTTGCTGCCCTGGCAGTTCCAGCTCTATCCCATGATGACTCAAACTGGTCAGACTGCACTCTCTGCCTGAGCTGTGGGCCCCGTGTGTCCGCCAGACGGGGGAGGATGCTAAGGTGGAAAGCTGCATAAACCTGAACGTTAGCCAGTGCGGTTACCATCTTTTAAGACTTGACACTCCTCCAGTTTCTTCCTGCGTTTGTCAGTCTTTAATGTCTTGAACAGTGGTTTTTTTGTTTTGTTTTGTTTTTTAATATATTTTTCCCAGAGTTTATAATTGTTATCTATGGGAAGGTTAGTTCGTACAACTATTACTAGAAGCTCTCCATCTCAATTTAAAGAATAGATTTTCTCTAGCAGGCCTATGTCTAACTTCTGGAGTCTCAAGCAGAGAGTTGTACCTGCATAAAATTGGGAAGTAAATCCCTCCCACTGTCCAAAGAGTTGGCCCCTCTCTGTTGTGTAATACTTTTCAGTGTGTACTCCCCTACTGTTGATTGTTATGTATGCCTGCAATTTCCAGTCTTTAATGGCATTGAGGTTAGAGGAAGATTCAGTTCATTTGAGGTCGCTGTCGTCCTTTGTAAAGCGTGATTAAAATGATAAAGTTTACTAGCAGCATTTTTACTGTTATGACGGTAGCTCATCAGGTCTTTGTAAGTGGCTTATATATTTTCACACCAAATACAATATATAGGTATATATCTTTATATGGGATTTAAAATAAAATTTTACATCTCAAATATCTTATTTTTTAGGTTTTTTTGTGAAGGTGGGAATGTTTAGTTCAGGAGAGTTGATTTATAAGAAGAAGACACGCTTACTGAAGGCCTCCAGTGGAAGAGTAAAGTGGGGAGAAACTATGATTTTTCCACTTATACAAAATGAAAAAGAAATCCTTTTTCTCATCAAGCTTTATAGCCGGAGCTCTGTAAGAAGAAGACACTTTGTGGGGCAGGTTAGTAGTGAGTTTCTATCTTGAATTCTTTCCTTGAACTTCTCTGTGCATTGAAACAGTTGGTTAACAAAAGGAATATAGGGTAAAATTGAAGTTGAATAGACTAAACTTCTACAGCATCATAAATTAAAATTTAATGTTGCCACAAAAATGAAATCCTGTCAGATTTTGCTTTCATACAAATAGTTGGAATTTCTGTGCAGTTAGGTTTCTTATCTTAAAAATAAGTCTGTTTCTGAGCTTCTCAATTATAAATACTATAAGAAAGATCAGTTTTTCCATACCATTGACTGGTTAATGGCATTAATGCTAAGTATTTATTTTTCCTCTATCCAATACCATTTATTTATTTATTTATTTATATTTTTAATATAATTTTTAAATTTAAATTAAATTAATTAACATATAACATTATCGGTTTCAGAGGTAGAGGTCAGTGATTCATCAGTCTTATAGAATACCCAGTGCTCATTACATTATGTGCCCTTCTTAATGCCTGTCACCCAGTTACCCCATCCCCCTGGCCCCACCCCTCCAGCAACCCTCAGTTTGATTCCTATGATTAAGAGTCTCTTATGGTTTGTCTGGCTCTCTTATTTCGAACACTAATTATTTAAATCAAAATTTTTAAGGCTGCAGATGTCCAACTTACTTCATTTTGTTTCATGTTCAGTTTAGTGTTTAACTCTGTATGCTATTAACTGAATTATGTTAGATTCGAATTCCTAGAAAACATTAGTTTTGGCAGTGGTCATGATGGTATTTAGATAGTTGATTTTGGTGTCTGGATTACTCTATTTAAAAATTCTTAGTAGTCCGGGGCGCCTGGGTGGCTCAGTTGGTTAAGCGACTGCCTTCGGCTCAGGTCGTGATCCTGGAGACCCAGGATCGAGTCCCGCATCGGGCTCCCCGCTCAGCGGGGAGTCTGCTTCTCCCTCTGACCCTCCCCCCTCTCATGTGCTCTCTCTCTCTCAAATAAATAAATAAAATTAAAAAAAAAATGAAAAGAAAAAAAATTCTTAGTAGTCTGTGTAAGACAACATAACACTTGCTTACTTGCCAATCCTATGGGGACTTGTTTCCTTTGTAGTTTCTTTTACTCTGAGCAGATTAATGGTAGCTGTCCATTATCTTTTATCTTAATTATGATTGTTTGATTTCCATTTAAATTCTAAAATATACATTATTGGTTTAAAAGCTTTTGCTTGATAACAAGATGTTATTAGCAGTTTACATGAAATCCTCAAATTATATGTGAATATTCAAAGGTTGATAATAACTGACTCACTTCTTCATGCATTTTACTTAAAATATTTGTATAAAAAATCTATAGTTTTGTTCTTCATTTATTCCTATTTGGGAAGGAATTTGGACTCAAGAATTCGTATAAGTAGCATACTTTTCAAGGTCTTGAGGCCTATGAAGTGCGTTCAGTTAAAGTTTTCCTATATCCTCAAGCCCCGGTTATCATGTATGAATGGAATGGGCAATTTCCTTGACAGGTGATTTTCAAGATAACTTTTTTGGTGATTCCACTTTCTTGGTTGAGAGTCTAGTTAAGAATTACAATTCTGGAAGGGATCTTGCTGGCTCTCTGTTCCTGTGGCTTCTCTGGTATCCTCAGGAACCACTATGGTGGGGGAGCCAAATGCAGACTCAAGGTCTCCCACTCATATTAGCCAAAGAACCCTGGTGTTACCTGTTTCATATATTAGGTTCTTTGTAAGATTTTATTTAAAGGAAAAGTTCTTCAGACTAGGAAATTAAGAGGAAAAAGTTTGAAAATCAGTGACCTGCTCCAATTTCTTTATTTAAAAGAATTAGAAACTGAGTCTCAGAGAAGTTAATTCCTGTTAGTGCTAAAGCTGAGGTGAGCATTCAGCCTTCATATTCCTTGTCCCCCTTTGCCTCTGGGCAGGTGTGATGTCTTATGTCTGCATAATGCTCTGCACTTGTTCTCAAGTTCATTTATATCTATTACCTAAAGTTATGGTTTAGATTTCAGTTAAAAATCACAGCTTTATCTAATGTAAAAAGTCCTTTAAAATGTACATTTCTTACGAGTCTAACTTAAATCATGATTAGTCTCCGTTTATTCTCACAAAAATGATTTTGAATGGTTGGGATCAATTGTAAGTTGAGCTCCTAGATTTATTCGGTAATGAAGGATACTAATTACTGTTTTGGGAGAAATGATTTTAGAATATCTCACATCCAGTTTTGAAGTTGGATTGGATCATATAACATTAGTCTTCAGAGTGACTAAACAGGTTAAGTGTTTTGACATATTTTTGGAAAAATGGAAAGATTGTTTAATTGAAAAATATGTGAGCCAGCCTTCCACTTGTCTTTCATCAGTAAGAGGAATTAACTGAACTCAGTTGCTGTTCTCGTGTTAAGTTAAATGATTGTACTGTTCCTTTACAGATTTGGATAAGCGAAGATAGTAATCACACCGAAGCAGCGAGTCAGTGGAAAGAGACAGTTACAAATCCAGAAAAGGTTGTTATCAAGTGGCACAAATTAAACCCATCTTGAAGACATCACACGTTAATTTGGTGAAGAACTTGACATTCTTTTAGAAGACTTACGATTTCAATTTGCTACCAAGGAGGAGAGACAAATCAATACATTTGTCAATGTATTTATGGAGGTCATAATTACAATTGATAATGGATCTTATGGAAAATTAAATTTGATTAAAAAATGGGATGAATTATATCGAATATCCAAAGGGAATGTTTTAAAACTTGCCAAAATAGACAGTAAAATAAAGAGTAGTATGCTGGGGCAACTAAATAAGTTACACAATCAATGAGAATTTCAACCATAGGTCGTTATTGCTATATTGTGTTTATGGGTTTTTTTTAAAGCTTTACCTGGATATTAAAAATCTAGTATATCAAATCTCTGTTAGTACTGTTAGAATGTAGAAGACTTTACTACTGATTATTTCAGTGCTAGTCATTATTGATTAGATCTTGACTCCAGTGTTTACCTCTTGCTATATATTTTCTCGCAGAAAGGAAAAATGAATTAAACCGCTTCAACTCTTCTGGATTTGGGGAAAACTTGTGCCCTGTTTTTCTCATTTCTTACCCATAAGGCGTCATATTGCCACTTTGTAAATTATTTATCTCCAAGAAACTTCAAATCTAAAACACTGTATTTTGGCAAGAATAAATGAAAACACCAGAAGGTTGAAGTTAAATTGGAAACCTAGTGTATACACATTTTGTTTTCCTCTCTCAAGTATTTTACCCTTTGTTTTAATTGGAGTTGGAGTAAGATTATCATCCATATGGTCCATCCTAATTAGCAGAATTAAATGAGCTTAATTAGCAAGTTCAATATTTTATGATAATCATTTCCTTCTTTTTAGTTTTTTAAAATATAAACTATTTGTTCTATAATCCATGACATTATTTTCCCATGATTTTAAAGAAACCACATTGTAGTAAATTCTTTCTTTCTTTCTTTTTTTTTTTTTTGTGGGGAGGGGCAGAGGGAGAGTCCTGGAGAGAGAGAATCTTAAGCGGGCTCCATGCCCAGTGCAGAACCCAATGTGGGGCTCGATCTCACGACCCTGAGATCATGACCTGAGCTGAAATCAAGAGTTGGATGCTTAACCAACAGAGCCACCCAGATGCCCCGCAAATATTTTCTATTGCAGTTTCTCTCAGGTACTCGTTAGAAGTCAGTATGTGGGCATAATGTCAGGTTAGTTGGCTGAATTATTCAAGCTATGGCCAAAAAGAACAGCTGTTTGGAGAAACAAAGAATTCCATCTTTGATCTTGGAAAGTCTGACTTTAGTTTTGCTAATGAGTGGACCAAGTGCTCTGTGATTATGGTCTTCCATTTTTCTTTCTCTCTTACCTTGTTCTACAGATGCCAAGAGATAGATGGTGATATTTTAGGCCAGAAGATACTTTGGTATAGCTTCAGCATATCCTCTTCATTCTAGTTCTTATGGTCTGCATATCTCATTAAGATTTTCTCAAATAAACAATTCCTCTTTTCCTAGGTACCATGTGCGCAAGGTACAAAATATACGTAGTTTACGTGTCCTTTGCTTCCACTCCCTAGGGTTTATGTTATACAGTTGGCAGGGACTCTCTAACACTGCATTTGGAAATAATTTTTTTCCTTAGATTTGTGAAAAATGGCATATTGGTCAGTACTCACATGAACTTTCACGAGAAATCACCTTGTATGGTAGTGTTTTAAATCTTTGAGACAAATGACTTTATTTTTTAGAGCAATTTTAGGTTCACAGCAAAATTGAGAGGAAGGAAGTACAAAGAGTTCCCAGATACCCCTTACCCCCACATACACACAGCCTCCCCCATCATCAGCATCTCCCACCAGCGTGATAACATTTGTTAAAATCAATGAACATACATTGACACAGCATTATCACCCGAAGTCTGTAGATTACATTAAGGTTCATTCCTGGTATTGTCCATTCTGTGAGTTTTAACAAGTGCATAATGTCATATATCCACCACTCTAGTATCATACAGAGTAGTTTCACTGCCTTAAAAATCCTCTGGAAATGCACCTATTTTAATAGCCACCAAATAAGTGTATTGGCTTTTAGATAATAAATAACAGATGTTGTTTTAAAAAAATCTAGAATTTTATTTGGCTAATTTTTTTTGTGTTCTATTAAAGCTCTCAATTCCTAAATTTATTATAGGTAGTCATGTATTTAACTCAATTTTAAATTATTTAATTTTTAATATTTTTGCAATATGTATATAATGTATAATTTCAGAGAAAGTGTGATTTCTTGGTTTCTTGTATGTCTTAGAATCCTAGGTAAATTAAAAAAAAACCTTTTCATTTAAAAGACTTTTCAGTTAGGCTAGTATTGACACAGCTAAGGTCCCAAATATTTTAATTAGTTTTACTTAAGCCTTTTTCAGGTGTAAGAGGTACCGAATGCAGATGATATTCTGGTCGTTCCTTTGAAGCTTTGCATGAAATATAAAAAGAAACACACTCTTCTGTTAATAGCTGTTCATATTATGAGAAAAACATTAGAAGCTGGTAATAAAAAATGAGACGGTAAGCAAAAATCACTTGTCTTTGTTTTTGCTTAAGCATTTCTTTCTTTTTTTTTTTTTTTTAAGATTTTATTTGTTTATTTGACAGAGAAAGAGACAGTGAGAGAGGGAACACAAGCAGTGGGAGTGAGAGAAGGAGAAGCAGGCTTCCCGCTGAGCAGGGAGCCCGATTCAGGGCTCGATCCCAGGACCCTGAGATCATGACCTGAGCTGAAGGCAGATACCTAATGACTGAGCCACCCAGGTGCCCCAGCTTAAGCATTTCTTGACCTTTACTCACTTATAACAAGGAGAAGGGAATCAAAGTGATGCTGGTTGGCCAGAGGAAGCCATGGAAGGGTTCCCATGGATAGCTGATAGTTTGTACAACTCATCCTTTACATTGTGCTTATTTATAAGCTTTCCAGTTGATACAGTTGGGTAGCTGCAGCCCATGTCAAAATACGTCATCACTATTTGGCTTTCATTTGGTTTTGCATGATTTTTGGGTTTTTTTTAGCAGACCTCCTAGAGAAATTATCATTGAAGTATATCAGTTCCAGCACTTACCAGACTGTTAAGAAGGAACCAGTGGGATTTTGAACATGTAATTGTGATCTGAAAATAACCTAAAATGAACTTCTGCTTGAAAGTAGTTATGTGAATTGCTCTGATAATGTACTGAAACTATATTTCCCAGCAAAAATTTCTGTTGTTTGTTTGATCAAATCATCACTTATTTTTTAAGGATTTTAGAAATTTTCAGTAAATGTCACCATTTTATATCATGGCAGTAATGGATACTTTTTTTTTTTTGAAACTTTTGTAATAGATATTTCAAAGGATATATATTTCCTTTTGATATTTGGTGAGGTATATTGAGGGAAGTACCAGATAAAATATCTGTATGTACACTGTATTAGGTAGGGTTTTTCAGAGAAACAGAACCAATAGGATGTATGTATATCTAAAAATATATGTATTTTTTAATTACGAGAAATTGGCTCTTGTGTTTATGGAAGCTAAGAAATCCCACAATCTGCCATGAAGGCTGGAGACCCAGGAAGTCCAGTAGTCTAGTTCAGTCTGAATCTGAAGGCCTGAGAACCAGAGGAACCAATGGGATGAATCCCAGTGTGAGGGCAGGAGAAAAGGATCAATTCCTTCTTCATCTCCCTTATGTTCTATTCAGGTGCTCAGCAGACCAAAAGATGCCCACCCACATTGAGGAGCACGATTTACTGAGCCCACTGATCCAAATGTTAATCATGTCCAGAAACATCCTCTTAGACACACCTAGAAATAACGTCACCTGGGCACCCCTGGCCAGTCAAATTGACACATAAAATTAACAGACATCTACTAGTGTTCTCTTGATGGGTCAGCTGAAATTAGTGTTCAATAGTCAACCTCAAATGCTTGAAGTGTTGGTTGAAACATTTGAGTTGAGGAAAGAATTATGAAAAGTGAATGTATATGAAGTACCATGTCCATGTTGAAATAGAGGTTTAGTGTTTAAAAGATACTAAAAGAGTTAATGTTGCCCTCTAAAATTGGATATTTTGTCTGAAGACGAATGCTGCCTACATTTTAAATCATATCCTGGTAGAATTTTTTTAACTTGGCAATTACTGATTTTTAACTTTCTCATGTATAGAAAATCTGATCTCTAAAATAACTATTATTAGTTAAAACTGGTAACTAAATTATAGAACGATAACTGTATTAACGGTATGACTATATTAAACTGTAGGACTCTGATAATAGCAGTAGATGTCCAGAAAGAAAGTTCTATATGTCTTCTCAGGTGGCTAAAAGGTATCTGATTACATGCATAGCTAAATCACTGAGTAAGATATGTCTTTAGATGAAGATGGGGTTTATTCAGTATTGATTTTCATATTCTCATGCTGTGGAATTTGTTTTCTGAGCCACCATTATTTAGTTTCTGAGGCAGGAGGATGATAAAAAATATCTGTTCATGATAGAACTAGATTTATTTTAACAGATTTTGTTGACTGTGGCTCTTACTGTCTTTTAGTTTAATTTCTGGGTCTTTAATATTTCTTGATTAATGCGCTGTATGGAGACTTGATCTTGAAACAACTAAATTTTTAAATGAGCTATTTTATATACTTAATAATTAACTGTAAAAATATCTATATAGTACTTTTTGCAAAGAACTGTTGTAGGTGCTTGCAGGGACAGAGATGAATAAGCCATCACTCTTTACTCTGGGTTTTATATTTTAGTAGGGAAATAAAATAGTATAAAGCAGAATTGTAGTAAAAAGCAGGATTCGAGGTATGGACAACATGCTTTAGAGGCTCAAATAAAATCAAATGCAGCTGAAGGAATTAGCATCTCTGGGTTTTTTTTGTTTTTTTTTATTTTAGTAGGCTCCATATGCAATCTGTTGGAACATCCAATGCTGAGATCAAGAGTCACACAGCCAGCCAGGTGCCCCTGCAGATGAAGGAATTAGGAAAACTTTGGTAAATCTCTGATTTGGAACACCCAAAACCAGGCAGATTGGTGGCACTGTTATTGGTCACTCTGATTCTGCCTGACTGGGAGTCTTGCTTTATTTATTTTGTCAGCTGAAGTCACTGTGAAAAAGTTTATATTTCCTTCCACTCTCTTCTGACCTTCGGCCCACCTGCTCCTTTCTTGACTCTCAGTGGAACATCTTATTTCATGCCTCACAAAGAAAACAGTGTCAGGCATTCTTTCCACTTTCCACCATCATATCCACAAGCTTATTTTATCTACATCCATCCTCCATGATGTTAGAAAGTCAGTCAGTTCTTGTGAATTCTGAATCCAGTCCTCTGCTTTTCCAGGGATCTCATTCCATTTGTTATACCTATTTTCTCTACTATTCCTTGAGTCCCTCCTTCTCTACTGGGTTCTTCTAGCGTCATTCCAACCTCCCTGGTGCATGCGCGACTGTCTCAGGATAGGTTGGTGATGTGTCCAGTGGAAAGAACCCAATGGATATCATCTTGGGGATTAAGTCTGTACTGATGAGGAAGCTGTGGAGACACCATAATGCAGGTAAGTGCAGCATGCTCCTTGTGAAGCACCCCCACTCCCACACTACCACAACTGAGCCTAACTGCGACCAGTGGAGATTTCCAGAAGCTCTGTTTTCACTCTCACTGGGGTCTTTATTCTTTCCTCACTTTCCCTCTCCCACCTGACCATTCCCAAGCCTTTCTTTCTGCTTCCTCAACAGGCTTTAGTAACTAGTAGAGAACAATGCCAACAAATTCCTCCAGTGTAAACGAATTCAGGGAGTAGGAAGTTTATTTTCTCAGCACAGCCTCTCTTAGGTCTCCTATACTTCAGGCCTCTCTCTGGTCTATGTCCTTCTTTTAAAAAGTTCCTAGACTTCTCACCCTGTTCTAGATTCTGCCTTATTTGGTCTCCCCTTTATAAATAATTTCTAACTGTTCTGTTCTTGGCCTAGTCTCTTCTGTCTTTCATCCAGACACAGCACTGAACTTCATTCTGAAGTCTTAAATGCTTTTCAGTTATTTTTTCTTTATTACTCATCAACTTCCTTCCTTTTTTTTTTTAAAGATTTTATTTATTTATTTTGACACAGAGAGAGAGACAGCGAGAGGGAACACAAGCAGGGGGGAATGGAAGAGGGAGAAGCAGGCTCCCTGCAGAGCAGGGAGCCCGATGCGGGGCATTTTTTTTTTTTTTTTTTAATTAGAGAGAGAGAGAGTGCATACTTAGCTGGTGGGGGAGACGGCAGGGCAGAGGGAGAGGGAGAGAATCTTAAAGAGGCTACATGCCCAGCAAGGAGCTGGATGTGGGGCTCGATCTCATGACCCTGAGATCATGACCTAAGCCAAAAATCAAGGGTTGGAGGCTTAACCAACTGAGCCACCCTGGTGCCCCACTCATAAACTTTCTTAACGATAGAACTCTCCCTCCTTGAAATCACATCTTTCCTTAGCTTTCATGTCATTATGCTCTGTTTGCTGTCTTTTTACCTTTCTAGCCTTTCCTTTTCTTTCTTCTCTGTTGGCTCATCTTTGTGCACTTTAAACGTTAGGACTTCTTGAGGACTCAGTCCTAGGCCCTCTTCTCCCACTCTATGTTATTACTCGGGGCAATCTCATCTATTCCCATGGCTTCCCATCTACTGGCCAAAGGCTGCCAAATTTTTATCCCTGCCCTAGTTTACTAATGAGCTCCAATATCATTTGGCTAATGTGGACATCTTTTCTAGAACATATACCAAACCAAACTGTGGATTTCCCATTCTACCACAGTCTGGCCTGCATTGTTCCGCCATCTTAATAAAAAGAGCTCTCATCCACCTGGTTAGTCATTACAGAAAACTAGGAGCCACCTTGGAACTTCTCTCTCTCATCGCCCATACTCAATCAATCACCTTATTCAGTAGTGTGTGTGCTGTGTATATCTTGAATCCACCCACTTCTGCATCCCCACTGTAACATCTCTAGTCAAAGACAGCATCACCTCCCACCTATAAATTCTGCACTCTCCACCCCGCCCCCCAAGTTGGTCTTCCTGCCTCCTTCTGGTT